AAATGAAAGTGATTACAATGTTTATTGATATATATGCACAAATATCAAATTTTTTTAGTTAGTAGAAGACTGACCAGTGTGCCAATTTAGTTTAGCATGCTATATTTGTTAACACGTATCTGAATATTTAAAAAATACAAGAAATGTTATGTACAATACCATATTTCTGCATAGAAGTAAGCTGCTTTTCGCTGCTGCATCAATGAAGAAGGTATTTGAGGAATTCGTACACAAAGTTTCATTGTGATACAAATGTGAATAAATGGGGAATGTCCATTTGACCTACAACATTATATAGGGACGCTATCAAAATTCATACTTGATCTATGTATTGTGCTAATAAACACTGTGTATTTATAGATTCCTAACGTCCAGTTGAGAAAAACTTAAGTTGCCGCATTTTTTTCATCTGTAATGCGACATAACTCTAAAATCGAAAAATGACGCCATCAAAATTCAAACTTGATCTGTACTTTTGTTTTGAGGTAATAAGCATTATAGATAAGTGACATAACATTAAGTTGAGGCAAACTAGAGTTAGAGAATTTAGCAATTTTTCTATTTGTAAGGGGCGTAGCTCTTGAAAATTAAAAGTGACGCCACAAAAATTCTAACTTGATCTGTGTTTTATTGTTATACATATGCTCATCGTAGATACCAGGATGGACCCAGACGCGAGTTTCGTCTACAAAATACAGCTAAGGTAATCTATTCCTGAGGTACAAAATCCTTAGTGTTTCAAAAATGTATAGTTCTGTAAACAGTACATTTATAATGACGACGATATCAATGACAATTCATGTCAACAATGTGTATAAGTTTCATAACATTTGGATGAGGCAAACTAAAGTTGGAGAACGAAAACCAAATCCGGGACGTACGGATGGACGTGCAGACGGACAAAGTTTAAACAAAATGCCCCCTCTGCGACAATGGGGCATTTAAAAGTCAGTCAAAACTACAATAGCTTTCTCAAAAGTGGTCATATTACGATAACGGCATAGTATTATGGTAATCTACATATGCTGTCAAACAATCCTGTCAAATATTGATGATTTCTGTCTTGTTGTTTCAGGGGATCCACATGAACAAAGTGTCATTTGTGATACAATAATAAAAACAAATTGTAAAAACTTCCCGAACTCTTTTAAATATAGTAAAATAAGAAAAGAAATTGTATCGCTTCCAAAAAACTCTTCAAACAATACAGTACTTTTAAGACAAACCAGTGTGTTGTCATGTCTGTTTTTGGATTTACACAGAGACCTATACATTGACAGGACTTAGCACTATTTAATTATTGCCGATTATATCGTCGATTCATAGTCCATAAATGACACTAAATGGATAAAACTCGAATAAAAAAATGTTAAACAGGCCAAATAAAGTACAAATTTGAAATGCATTGAGGACCAACAACTCCTTAAAATATTGCCAAATTCAGCTAAGATTATCTATTCCAAACGGGGTAATAAAACAAAATGGAATTAATTACTGCGAATTTCACCAATCATTATAAAACACTTCCCATCAAAAAAATCACACTTATGTTGGTCATTTTATCATGTGTTTATATCAAAATAAATCTACTAAACGATTAAACGGATCATTTCATTGTTTTTGTTGAACGTTTGAAATTATGTAGTTTATTTTTTAGCAGTTCCGATAGTTAGACGCTTCAAAAATCCGTTAATCTTGCAAAGTCTCGTAAACTTCGGAATTTTAACAATTTTATATTGAAAAGCCTATCAGGTTTATATGGCCATACGAACATATATTTTATCATTCTTACAGTGACCAAGATGAAATCCAGAAGAAAAAATAATCTTTGTAAGTATAGACGTGTCTTTCTAATTATCACCCTTAGTATTGCACGTGTCCGCACGAGTTCATTGATGTCCGGTCGCCATAAAGGTCGTGAAATAGTGTAAACATTAGAGAAAGCACGCTATCTGAACACACACAATTTTATTGTTGATACAACCAAAATGAATGATCTGTATCCACCAGGCTTAGATAAAATAACAACATGGGCAGACGATATGAGGGTATGGCCAAATGTTATGTACGGTGATGTGTACAACTTTTTAATTTCGTCAAAAGCTGTCGATGGTCAAGAAATGAAGAATTTCAAAAGCCTGCACAAAGTTATAATTACTTTCAAAGTGGAAATGTTGGAGCTATAACGCACCATGTTTATACTGACAATACGTTTTTAATGAGGGCAGAAGTCCGTTCTTCTCAAACAGTATCGAGAATGAACAGTGTATATGTACATTCTACACAAGATGGCACAGTGATAAATGGATGGTGTTCGTGTATGGCAGGCCGATGTCATTCGTGTAGTCATGTTGGGACTCTTCTTTGGAAGTTGGAACATGCTGTGAGAAATAGTCTTACGGGGATTGCCTGCACTGATGAAAGTGCACAATGGAATAAAGGGACACCAGGAATGTGGAACCAAAGGCACTCTCCAATATAACATTTAAGAAGCCCAAGGTTGGTGAAACTGTCATGGAAAATAATGAGGATTATGTGCCAAGCGTTCGTGACTCTCATTTATTTTCCTCAGATGCAGAATGCAAGGCAGCTATAAAGAATTCAGCTATATCGAAACTGTTCTATATAAAAGGAACAACTGTTTACACAAGTTTTAATAGTACACATATGTCTAATGTGATAATTCAAGCGGAGCATGGTGAACATATTTCTGTTAGTTCATGTAGGAAATGTTATGCCTTTTTCAATAAATATAATGAACTTAATGACCCAAAAAGGAAAAACTTGGAACTTGGAACAAAAGGTCAAAGTAGCAGTCTTTTATGGAAAGATGCAAGGAAATTGCGCATAATTGCAAGCAGTGCAACTAAAGATGCCAATTAAAGACACAACTGATGCAACATCATTTATTCGGGAACATTTCCATCCCAAATTGACAGGGAACAAATTTACGAGACATGGCACACACCAAGAACCTGTGGCTAAAGAGCACCTACGGTCACTGGGTAATATTATTTTAGATACCGGCATGTATGTCTCAATTGAGGGAACAGTGGCTTTCTAGTAGTCCAGATGGAATTTTTAAATGGTGACACATTACTTGAAGTTAAATGTCCAGTTCCAACAAAATGGAATACACTTGAAGAACTGATAAATGGTGGAAATATGATGTTATTAAAACCCCAGAAGGACATTATCAAATTAAAGTCAAAGGTAATAGGGGTTATTACATGCAGATTCAGTTGACTATGTATTGTACTGGCCTTCGAAAAGGCAAACTGTACCTGTCCGGATGACTTTATTTTAATAAATGTTGATTATGACCAGGAATATGTTCGTGAACAAGTCCAAAGATTAAAAGACTTTTATGTGAGAAAAATTATTCCCAGAATTGTTGATGAAGTAGACAGTGATCGTTTTATTTTCAGTAGATTGTTTTGTAATTTTATGAGATAGATATTTACAATAATAATAATTTTATGGTTTAAAGTTGTTCATTATATCTTAAGATTCAGATTGACCCTGTAAGCATTTGTACTTTTATATACTAGCAAAATCAATTTATGGCCATGGAGGTCCGAGGTTAAGGATTTAAATCCCTAACAGGTCAGAACACAGACTTGTTATCTGGTGTTTTGCAGCTTCTCTGCTAAGCACACATACAGTATATACATGTGTATATATTTTTTACAGAATTTACAATGTAGGTTTAGAAGTAAAGTCTAGTTGGCTCAGAGTTAAATAATGTGTCCTTGTCATAATCTATTAATATAAAAAAAAGGAGATGTGGTATTATTGCCAGTGAGACAAATATCCACCGTCAACAATGAGAAAGACCCATACCGTTTTTTTGTCTTCAATAAATGAAAGGCCCTAACATAGAAAAAATATGAAACAATTATATTCAATTGAGAAAACAAACAGCCTAATTTATCACAAAAGAATCTACAAAAACCAAATATGACAGACATGAACCAATGACAACCACTGATTTAACTCATTTGGTACAAGGAATGTATCACAATATTCATGTAATATTTGCCACTGGACGTTTAACACTATCACTTAATATCGGTCATTGTTTAGTTAAAGTGCATGTAAAATACAGTCAAAAACAATTCAAAAGAGAAAAATGACAGACAGCAATTACAAAACCACTGAATAACTGGCAAATAATAAATAAGCACTTAAAAAATGTAAATACTTATGTTTTTGGGATACGGTTATGTCCACATGTACAATGTACCTTGTATTGGATAATAGCTCAATCAATCACACACGTTATAAAATAGCTGGTGAGTAAATAATTCATTTTGAATTAAATGCTTAGTAAGTAAACACTAGTCTGAATTTTTTTTAATAAAGTTCTCTTTTGATGTTGGTATGCAATGTTGACGTTTGGACAAGAAGACTTCATAGACATGTGTGTAATTTACTAGGGATAATCACAGTTGGAAAGGCAAACAGTGTTGATTTGTGTTTATCTTCACATGTAAACGTAATTGCTTCTTATGTAATAAACATGTATAACCCCAGAAGTTCACTTCAGGAGACCCATAATTCCTACTTTGATAAGTCCAGATGCTTATAATTCGATACAATTAATCTCATAATAAAAAGTTATGAGCAGGTCTATGATTACCAGTATATATGATTTAATATAAAATTATCTTTTAATTTTCACTTGTTCATAACAATAATAATAATAAAAAGGGAAGACCAGGAATCATCATCTCCAAGCTAGTTTACACACTCACATTTGATGTTGTTCCAAGACAGGAGATTTAGTCAATTGTTCTATGAAGACTTGTTGATGATTTAATCTTAACTTTTATTGTTGGGTTGCAGTCTCATTGACAATTATCACACTTCCTGAATTCTTTCATTCAAGTCAATTATGGAAATCAATTAATTAAAAAAAAACAATTTGAAGGTTGAATAAAAATGAAATAAAAAACAAACGAAGGACGAAAAAAAAACAATTTACAATGTAATTATATTCAATCCGTATCTACATTGACATTCCGTATTAAATCTGATCTCAAATTTACCAATGCGGAACAAACAATAAGAATGTCATTAAAATTCTTTAAAGACGACACTGGTACAGTTCCACTTAAAACATTAAATACTTTCAGTTTACGAATAGCACGCTCTACATGTATTCGTACATGTGCAATACGTCTAGTAGTTGTGACATCTTCATTTGAATGCTGGGGTTTGCATCTTGTTAATTCAGGAATGTTTAATTTTACACGACGAGGAAAAAGAAAATCTTTAATTGTAAATCCACGATCTGCCATTACTTCGTCACCCGGCAATAAATTGTTTAAAAATCCACTCTTATCCACGATAAACTTGTCACTAGCTCTTCCGCCAAAAGCTTTGGAAATAAACATGATTTGTCCATGTGGAGATATTCCAACTAAATATTTTACGGTATTGTGCGACTTGTAATTACTGAAAGTTTCACTTCTAGTTTTCAAGTACGTAGGTCGTTGTATAAATGTTTCGGCGCAGTCTATTATTACAGTGGTGCGAGGGTAATTTTCTCGGAAATATTCGGGACAACATGCTCGCATTGTTTCCCTCGGCAACCATGCAACTAAATCCTTAAGTTTTTCTGCAAGGACTGGCATCCAAGCATTACACATTTTACTAGCTAAACTTTTAGAAATTCCAAATCTACGAGCTAAGTCATCAAACAGCAAGTTTAATTTAAGTTTCATCAACACTAGTAGTAACTGGTCGGCGACTTCAAGTTGAAAGTTAAATGTATTTACTTCTGTCATAACCTCTGTTAACGTAAAGAATACTTCTTTACTTACGCCGTATATAACAAAGAGTCACTGTCCGTTACTGTATTTATTTTTGCGGACATAGCGCTACTTTCAATTTTGACTTGAACCCCCTGTTCTTCAGTCAACGCCGTATTTGTTTGAGTAAAGGTATTCTGTGTGTCCGACCAGGGTTTTGAATACATGTGATCCTGTGAAATCATTTAATCAGAATCGACATATTGTATTCCAACTGATGCCGTGGGTGGATAAACCACATTAAAACCACAAAAAGCTTCTGGAAGCAGTTCAGAATTAGACGGTCCTTCAGTCTGATTAATGTCAACACTCGTCTCGGTACTACTGCTTTCTTCCAGTAAACGTTTTTTTTTTTCTCTACTTTCTGGTTGTTGTCTCGACAGTTTACGTCTACCGGGGGTTGTCTGGCTTTCATACCCAAGATTTAATTTCGGAAAAGGATTTTGTTTTGTCGGAGCTCCGTCTAGAAAGTGATCCGAGCATACGAATACTTGCTTTGGACGTGTTTTTCTATTTAAAGCTTTAATCCACTGTAATCGTTTTGTCTCATTAGCGGGCATAACATGTAGTTTAAATGGAACCAAACAAGAACTGTTTTCGTGATTTTGTCCATGTAATTCACAAAATGATACGTTTCAATCATCTAATTTACGACGATTATTAGAACATCCATAAACAGCACAAGAGTTTCCACCCCCTTTCCTATATTTTTCGTTATTTGCCATGGTCATATGTACATGAAATATGTGAAACAAAAACGTTATAAATGACCAATAATTATATAGACTATACAGATTATTGATTGCACGTGCGTTATCATTCACGAGTGCTATGGCCGACGTACCACGTGACTTCTTAATGGCAGCGCACATGTTTTTGAGATAAGACGTGGATAAACCCGTCTATATCTATACAAAATAAGTTGAAATGTATGATATTTTAAGGTTCATATAATTTTCTTATATGGCCGGTGACCCTCCAATATTTGTTAATATATTTTTGATATATACCTTGTACCGATCAACTGTGCAAAGTTTAAGAAAAATCTATCATTTTTATTAATGATGGTATGTCTAAACATTACACTATTTAACCTTATATAAGGTATCTGCGTTGATTTTTATATCTTATGGCGGCCATCTTCGAAAAAGCCGCCATTTTAAAATTTCAACTTTGATTCATTGGTAATATTGTTGGAAACATCCAGCACTACTAATATTCCAAATGTGAACTTGTATAAGTGATATTTGTTTACCTTTATATTTTATGGTGACCGTCTTTGAAATATCCGCCATATTGAAATTTGAAGAGGAGTTTATAGCTTATATATTTTGAAACACCACGCACTACTGTAATGCCGAATTTGGCTTGGAAGCTGATCTTATATAAGTGATATATGCTGATTTTGATATTTTATGGTTGCCATCTTGGACAAAAATCGCCATATTGAAATTGCAAGGTGGATCCATAGCTAATGTTTTTTAAACACTCAGATCTACTACCATGCCAAATTTCGTGCTTTTATCATCAAACCCACAATTTTTCACCAATCTGCCGGAGTGATAAAAACCTACTGAAAAAACCACTTGAAATCCAAACTCAGCAACACCTTCTACGTCGACAAGGAACCCGTTACCTGATGGGCATGTGACACTTTGTGAACCAATTAAGACAAATTTCAATCATGTTACAAAAGTGAGCTTACTGTCAACTATCCTTTAAATGAGGTATCTGATTGATTTTCTAATAACATATCTGGTCGGAAGAAGACAAAGGCCGCTGACTGCGTAGTTCCATCACAATGTACACGAAAGTCGTCTGTTACCTTCATTATTCTAATTTAGATAAATTGTCTAATCTCAGAACAGCACCACTCACACAAAATTGCCGAATTAATCCTCGATCCGACAGACTGAATGGTTCAAATGGTCAAAGTAAAAACAAAATATTGAAAATCAAATGAATACTTACGAGGCATCTTTCTGGCGTAAAATATCGTTAAATGATCGCTCAAACGATCGCCAATTCTAGTTCAGTTGAAAGAATTGCAAATAGCCACTAGCAGTTTTTGCATTCACATAATAAGTCATTCACCTATTCAAAATTAAGAATTTTCCTTTTCAATAATCATTTTGAATAGCCGGTATTTGTTGATAACGCCAAAAACAGGATTCAGTTACCTCATTAATTAAATGTCGAAGTCTTGAAACGGGTGTCAAAACGCTCAACAATGAGAAAAATTACTTCGTAAAATGTCTTTTTCTTTCAAATACTGCCCACATTCAACAAGATGAATATTCTGGAAAGTTGTGAATGATTTAAAACTTGTTATAAACAAATTAGTAAATTGATTTATTTAGAAGTTTTGGTCACTAGTCTTGATATTTGAATATCTCCAGAGACTTTGCTGTGGCGACATCTTGAAGCAATTTGTTCCAATCCTTGACGGTGTTTACGAAATATGACCATTTCCTATAGTATTTGGTGGCTGGCTGTAATATGTAAATATGATTTTAGGACTGACTAAAGCTTCTTGTTGGTTTTTGTATTAGGTATTTACTCTTGTTCTACTGATAAAAGGTCGTTTGTTATTTTGTAACACATGATGACTCGAACTTCTTTTCGTCTAATTTGTAGGCTTTTCCATTCTAATTCACTTATCATATTGTTGACACTTGACCTATTTCTATGACTTAGATATGACTTTTTTTTTTTTTTTTTTTTTTTTTGAGTTGCTGAATTTCTCCAACATTCCATTTTTAAATGTTTTAATGTAAAACTCTTGTAATGTTTTAAGATTGATTTTTCCATCCATTATTTTCTCACAAATGACCTCTGATTTGATAAAAGGAATGCTAGAACGGGCTGTTAGCTTGTTGTTTCAAAACAGTAGGTTTTTTTTTTAATTAATAGGTTTTTTTTTTGTCTGAATTTCATGGTTTCATTTTCAACAACAATTACATTTAGATACATGCAATATGCACAATATGAACACACATTTTGATAAAAGATAAATAATTTTATTCCACTGCATGTTAATATTGATAGCGAAATCAACATGTGATTGGTTGAGATTATCACACGTGACATCGAACAAAACTTCATATTCCCCTCTGAGTATCATATTCCCCTCTGAACGTCGGTTAATGTTTATAACGGTTTGAACGGGATTTTGTAGAGATAGTATAGTAATTTCTTTTACAAAATTATTTCAGATCTAAAAACAAAACATAAAGAATAAATGATTAAATTTTGATCGGTACTGATTAATGTCGTGTAAGTTATAAAAACAAGCGGACAAGAAAAGAAAGATGTAATTTAATATTTTATGTTCAGGAAGTAAAAAATGTATAGGTAGTGGAATAAAACATTCATTTCCCTTGGCCTTTGGGAGTTATGAAGATTTGTTCACCCTCGAAAGATCATATTTCCCTCGGTCAATGCCCTCGTGAAATATGAATTTTCTTGGGTAAACAAATCTTCATATCTCCCTCAGGTACGGGAAATAAATGTTTGGTGTCTACGGTTTATTGCTACGCGAAAGTCGACGAAGAGACTGTTAACATAAAGATCGGAAATAACCATTTTGTTCCTTCTACATATTTATATATTACTTTTTGATTGCATACTATTAGAAATTCTTTTTTATGTACAACCACTCCATATCATTTCTTTTTGAAATTATACTGATTCATATAGATAAACCACAGCACGTTTGCTTGTATTATTGATTTGTTAATAATTGCATGCGATCACCACTAGAGGGTATAAATGTGCATTTGTATTGCAAATGGATATAATCTACCCAAGACTAATCAAAGAAATTGCTAAATGGTTGAACGTAAAAAGAACAATCTGTTCCCTTTATATATTAATCGTTTAATTTATTCTACCTAAGATAACCACGGCATATTATATAAGAAAAGATTCACAAAATAGTCAACTCACATCAACGACTTCATACAATACTGAAATTTTACTTCATGTATTATTAAATTTTTATCAGCATTTTCTCTTTTAAAAGCATTTTCTCTTTTGTTAGGATTTTCTCTTATACAAAAATGTTAGATTGACGGCAATTGTAAAATGACACCTACAAATACTAATAAATCTTATAACTATATAACCAGAAGATCTTGTAATGCTATGTTACAGTAATAAAACGGTCCTCTTGGACAAACGCAAAGCTTGAATACATGCAGAGTGTGAACACACGGAAATCTTGAACACATGAACATCATGAACAGAAGCAAATCATGAACATTGAAAAAGTTTTTTGGGAAAGGAATTAACATCATAACTTTCAATGTGTGTGCATTGAAACACAATGTTTCGTTTGTCCTTTTTGATAGTTTTTCTTTTCGTGTCAACATTATGTGAAATCATTGTTATCAAAAAACATACAGACAAAATATATAGTGGCCACGTGTTGTTTGAAGTATCTATGCCAATGTGGTCATTTTGTGCCCAACTTTGCTCGAGAATTCAAGTATGTAAATCGATTAACTTTATAACACGGACTAACACTTGTCAGATAAATGACGCTGAACCTGTAGGAAATAAGGATGAACTCATAAAGAGTGTTGGCAAAAGCTTTGTTGCGGTCTCGAATCTTCAAAAGGTAAATACGATAAAATAGTTGTTCAACACTATCAAGTGAAAAAATTTAGTTACTATCAATATTTTTCAGTTTAAGTTATGCTATACACATCGCAACTCCAGATATATTTTTAATTGACCTTTTATTTATTTCTGTTATTCGAAATGCAACTTTCCGTAGGTTGTATAGGTATTTTGGATTTTTCTAACCAAATATATATGTATTTCGCAAAACCAACTTTTTATCATTTTACACACTACACCATTTAATTATGTATACGTTGAGAAAATTGAAAATAAAACTGATACAGCATATATTTGTTTTTATCTATACATGCTAAATATAGCAATCAAATATAAATGTACAAAATTTAAGT